AGGGAGGCCAGCTCTGGGTGGCAAGGGGCTGTCTTCAGAGCTGGGGCATGCAGCCTCCCCTTCCACCAGGAAGACAGAGTTCCACAGTGGGGTTGGAACTCAAGGACAAGTGCTTACTCAGGTGGCACTCTACTGCTTGATCATACTGCGAGCTCTCCTCCCTGCCCACCAGATGCCATATCTGGGCTCCACCTGCTGCGGTCTTGGGTGTGCTGTTTATCCTCTCAGCCTTGCTTACTTCTTTAAGATGGGGTGGTATTCTTTGTACCTAAAGTAGAGCGCTTGCCTTGCATGCATGAGGCCCTGGGTTTGATTATCAACATGACTTTGAAAATTCACTGATGTTAATTATCAGATGAACATTATATGCAAAGCTGCCCTGAGATTCAGGCAGGCTGGATTCTTTTTCTATTAAATTAATGGGGTTTGATTCCTCAGTACCACATAAGCAGAAAAAGCCAGCAATGACACTGTGGCTCAAGTGGCAGAGCACTAGAGTTGATCTGAGGAGCTGAGGGACAGCACCCAGACCCAGAGTTCAGGCCCCACGAGTGACCAAAAAATAAAAAAAAAAAAAAGAAAGAAAAGGAAAGAAGGAAGAAAGGAACGAACCTGACATGCTGCCCACAGGCATTGGGCACTGTGAGAGTCATGTCCTTTAAGCCAGACACTGCCTGGGACCTCAGCCTGGGACCTCTGTCCTGTCCCTCCTTTGCTCAGGTTTTTTCCTCACTTCCTGCTCTTGCCCACCCCCTCCCTCCACAGTTCTGGATGCTCATTCTGGCCAGCACGATCCCCATGCCTGCCGGATTCTTCATGCCTGTGTTCATCATGGGTGAGCTGGGGTTGGGGGTAGCTGAGGGTCGGGGCATTGCAGGAGAGCAGTGGCACTCAGCCCTTCTTGGCCCTCCCAGGGTGGTGCTGAGCATGGCCCCAGGGACAGAGGGCTGAGGGCCAGGTCCGTCACCATGGCTGCCCCTGATGGCAGTCATTCATCTGTGGCAGGAGCTGCTATTGGGCGCCTCTTGGGGGAGGCTCTGTCTCTGGCCTTCCCTGAGGGCATCGTGGCTGGAGGTGTCATTAATCCCATCATGCCTGGGGGCTACGCTCTGGCAGGTAAGTGCCCTGGGCTAGGTCGGGTGGGCAGACCTCCTGGGGATGGGCTGTAGTGGAGAGAGGGTGCTAGCGAGGGCACGGGGGGGGGGGGGTGTCACTGAGTGTCCAGATCCCCCTCCCTTCATGCGGCTTCCCTGACCCCAGCCTCCTCACTCCTCTGGTCTCTGTCTTCTCCATCCCACATGCTCTCCTTTATCCCTCTCCTCTCCCCAAGTCCAGGTACAAGGCAGGTCCTGCAGTGGCCAACATGGGTCCTCTGGGCATTTGCAAGCCCAGCCTTGGGAAAAGCCCTGCCCACCTTGTCCCTGGGAGAGTCTGACCCCTGGATTGAACGACTTTGCCCTGGCTCTGCTCCCCCCGCTCCCCCAGGGGCTGCGGCCTTCTCTGGAGCGGTGACTCACACCATCTCCACGGCGCTGCTGGCCTTTGAGCTGACCGGCCAGATCTTGCACGCCCTGCCTGTGCTGATGGCGGTGCTGATGGCTAATGCCATCTCCCAGAACTGCCAGCCCTCTTTCTATAATGGCACCATCATGATGAAGAAACTGCCTTACCTGCCGCGGATTCGGGGGCGCAAGATCGGGTGAGCAGGCTGCTGAGGCTCGCTGACAAGGGGGAGGGTTTCCTGGGGGGGGCGGTAGAGAAGCCTCAAGAATCACCACTGAGGCTGACCTTGAACCTGGGCGTGGGAGGGATGAGTCATGGCTGCCCCCTGGTCTCTAGTCTTCCCAGTGGCCCGATGGCTGTGAGGATGCTGGGATTCAAGCAGGCCTGGGTCTTGCACAAGGTCTCATAGATCAAGGTCACATCACAGCCAGGGGCTCCCCTCCCCCTTTGCTCCTGCTCTGCCATCCTTACAAGCAGAGATGGTCTGGGCCCACTGCAGTCTAGGGCCCAGGAATCAGGACGGGGCTACTAGAGACCTGGTCTCCAGATTCCTCACTGGGGGGTGGGATGAGGTGGGCACTCACTCAGGAGTCTCCCAGCCTCCACCCTGGCTTGAGAGATCCTCAGGTCCTGGGCCAGTAGGGCTCCCCATGTGCCCTGCCTCACCTGGGGGCTGACACCGCTAGCCAGGACCTGATGGAGCCTCCCTCTGCCCCAGCTCGTACCCCACGACGGTGGGACACTTCATGAACTGTGCCATCACCACCCTGGCCAAGGACACCCCGCTGGAGCAGGTGGTCAAGGTGGTGACCTCCACAGATGAGGCCCAGTATCCCTTGGTGGAGAGCACAGGTGCCTGGCAGGAAGGGGTGGCTGCCTGGGAGGGGCGGGATGCCCTTGGCCTTGCTCTGAGCCTGAGTGTCTGGGCAGAGGTACATCTAAGATCCCCCTATGAATGGCACTTGGGTCTAAATTCTAAGAACTAAACCATCACTAGCTGTCAAACCTCCACATCAGAGATTGGCAGTTAGCCTCGCCCAGTACCACTGAGCCTCAGCTGCTAGTCTAAGTTGGATGATCTCCTATGAGGCACAAGAACACCCCTAGCACCATGCTTGGCATGTAGTAGTTGCTCAGTTAATGTGAATTCTCCCTCCATACTAGAGTCTCAGATCCTGGTGGGCACCGTGAGAAGGGCCCAGCTGGTGCAGGCCCTCCATGCTCAGCCAGCTTGCTGGGTGGCAGGCCAACAGGTGAGTGAGTGAGTGAGTGCCCGGGAGGGGCTGGGCCAGGGTAGGGTGGTGGGCAGGGCTGGGAGCTGTCATCCTGTGGATAGGGAGGCTGGTCCAGTTTCCCACTGTCCCTCCCCCATCCCCAGTGCTGTCTCCAGGACCTCTTGGCTGGGGGCTGTCCCATGGAGCCAGTGACCCTACAGCTGTCCCCAGAGACCTCCCTGCACCAGGTAAGGGGAGGATGGGAGAAGGCAGGCAGACAGGGCCCCAGAGGAGGGGGAGGAAGCCGGTAGGTGGGTCAGGCTCCAGCTTCTCCCCTGTGCCAAGTGATGTCTGCTCCCCCCTAGGGTTTCCTCATCTGCATGGGCCTGGCAGCTCCTGCCTGGGCACCCCTCACCCCTCATGAGGGAAGTGGGCGAGTATGGGAGACAGCACTCAGGTGCAGACACTGGTTAAAAGCTGGTAACTTATGCCTGTAATCCTAGCTACTCAGGAAGCTCTGAGGATTGAGGTTTGAAGCCAGCCTGGGCAGGAAAGTCTATGAGACTCCTATCTCCAATTCACCACCTCAAAACTGGAAGTAGCACTGTGGTCAAAGTGGTAGAGCACTAGCCTTCAGAAAAATAGCTCAGGGACAGTGCTCAGGCCTTGAGTTCAAGCCCTACAACTGGGGGGGGGGGGGGGGGGAAGGCAGGGAACATTAACAAACAAACCAAAACCCAAGCTTCCCATGAAGATGTAGGCAGAGGTCAATTTTAAGTTTGCCACATTCTCCCTGTGTGATCTTGAACAAATGGCTCAGCCACCCAGGGCAGAGCTGGCACTCGATGTGGGCCAGGGACACAAGCAGCCTGGGGACTTGGGCCTGGGCCTCTCCTCACTGCCAGGGGATGGCACCATGATGGTGGGGGGTAATGGTGGATAATGGCATCTTCTGCCCCTGGGCCTCACCCAGCTGTTGCATGGACTCTGGCCACCCCTAGTGGTCACTCTGCACATTGCAGAGTTCCCAAGTTCCCGAGAATTGGGGGAGTCCAGGCTGAGAGGTGGGTTAGTGGGCCTCAGGGGGACCCTGAGCCCAGAATGTTCTCTGAACCCTCCAGACGCACCACCTGTTTGAGCTGTTGAACCTGCAGTTGCTCTATGTGACATCGCGGGGCAGAGCTGTGGGTGCCGTGACCTGGGTGGAGGTATGGGATTCTCAGGGAGGGTGAGGCAGAGGAGGTGGGGGGACTTCTCCCAACCTAAGCTTGAGAGCCTCTGAGGACTCTGATGAACCTCACAGCTGGGACCCGAGTGACCACTGGGTCTGGGGACCCCTAGGAGCCTCTGCTCTCCGGGCTCAGTGACCCCATGATGCAATGGGGAGGCACTGGCTCTACCATCCACCCCAACGTCCACCCTAGGGGGGCCTCCAAAGTCGGAATCCTTCCTCCCAACCCCTTTTGTTCTCTGTTGCAGTTAAAGAAAGCGATTTCCACCCTGACCAACCCACCAGCCCCCAAGTGAGCCGGCCTGGTCAGTGAGAGCAGGTGCCCAGCTGCCTGGGGCTGGACAGGGCCCCTGCCTCTCCCTAGATGCCACCACCCATCATTACCTGCCCCAGCCCCTCCCCACTGCACAGGGGAGCTGGCAGCTCTTCTCTAGCCCTTCTGTCCCATCCTGGGGCCAGCGGCTCTAGCCTAGAAAGCCAAACCCCACCCTGGATACAGCACAGAGTGGGAGTTGGAGAAGAAATGGAGGATGCCCAGTGCCCCATTCATGAATGAAGAGATTGGTACGTGTCAGCGCCAAGTGCCAGCACCCATGTTCCCAGGCAGATGCTCCTGAGAAAAATAAAGCTGATGCCCAGAGCTGCTGTTCATCCCTAGCCTGCCTGCAGGCTGCGCCTGCTGCTCACAAGGGCAAGGCAGACCTGGTCCATCCGCAGCTCAGTCCTCACTCCCTGGCAGGGAGCTGCGGGGGAAAAAATGTTCTACAGGTGGGCCTTCTGATGTCTGACCTTGTCTCACATGATTCTGCGCACAGTTCCTGCCCCCGGCACCAGTCTCCTTGGCTGTGACAAGGTTGATAGAATGGGGTTCCGTGGCTGGCTGCTTTGGGGTTCCACAGGCCCTGAGCGTCCTTCATGGGGCCTCTCTTGGCTTTGTGGGTTAGGGGTCGAATCCTCCCTCCCTGCAGAGGTTCTGCCCAGTCCACACCCTCCCCAGAGTCCAGGCCGAGGTCACTCAGGGTAGATCCTCCACTTTAATGTCACCAGAGAACCTTGAGGGGATTAGTGGGGTGAGGGTGTGAGGGGCTGGCTCCCCGGTGTGAGGAGCAGGGGGTCACATGGGAAGTGGGGGACAGATGGTCCCTCCAGAGAGTGAAAAGGGCCAGAGAACTGCACTCAGCTACCAGAAGAGGTAGCCACAACACCAGCGGGGCAGTATGATTGGGGAAGGTCAGGTCTCTGGGCGCCACTCCAAATAGATCTCCCCATCTTGCTTGGTTGTCTGCCTGGGGGCCTGGCTGTCAGTTCCCTGCTCCCCCTGGGGCCAGCTATGGTGTTCGCTGAGAGTCCTTGAGCTGGCGGAGGGCAAAAACCCTAGGGGAAAGGGCAATTATGGTTCCCACCGCAGGGGTGAAGCTCCACAGAGGCCCAGAGAGACCCACAAGTGCTGCCAGCCTCAGCCCTGTAATGACCCAATCCATGCCGTCTCTGAGGGGTTTAGTGATGCTGGTTGCTAGAGCCAAGGTGGTCCCCGTCCAGCTGGACTTCTGCCAGGAGCAGGGGAACCGGCCGGGCCTGGCTTCAGTTGTAAAACACGTCGTCCTCCTCCTCTGAGAGGGAGCCGCTGTCCATGGAGGGCAGGGAGCCCTGCAGGTGCGCCCCCCCTTCGGGCCCTGGGCCCCCTGGCAGCCGCCGTCGATGTGGGGCCGGGCTGGGGGGCTGGGCGCCGGCAGCTGCCATGGGAGGCTCCTCAGGAGAGGGCCAGCTGTGAGGGGAGAGGCCGGGGGAGAAGGCCAGGAGGCTGTCGTCCTGCGAGGGGCCACTCAGCAGGCTGTCTTGAAGGTAGATGCTCTCCAGGTCTGGAAAACCAAATAAAGAGGGGAGGGGGGAGAGAAGTGGAAAACCAAATGGGGGGCCTGGGGTCCGAGTCCTGTTATACCACTGCTGAGCTGTGCGACCCCCTGGCAAGTCACTGAACCTCTCTGAGACATTTTCTCCCGATGGCAGGGGGTTGGGGGAGTGAAGAGCAGGCTGTACTCTGAGAATTGGGACAAGGGACATGTGACCCCCAGGCCTCTGGCACTGCTCCCCTCTGGTCAGAGGCACAATCAAGTGAGGTAAAGTACTCAAGACCCTAGGGTCACCCCCAGAACCGCTGGGCTCTGCACCTGGTGATGAGCCTCAAGCCCAGGCTGGGTTGAGTTTCTGAACCCCACAATGCCTCTACTTCCCTAGTAGAGAAAACAGGACTGCTTCTTGGGGGTGTCATCTAGATCAGCTTTGAAGGCAAGGAGGGGTTGGGAGGAGGGGGGCAGGCCGTGGAGTGGGGAGCAAGGGTCATGGGTTAGAGGGTGCAGGATGAAGTGTTCAGAGACTGAAGGAAGCCAAGGGCTGCTCTGGCATCTTCAGGCCCCCAGGACAAATCCTCCGGGGCCACTGCTCGGGGCACCAGACAGGGCAATGATCCGCAAGACCCATCTCACAGAAGAAGAAACTGAGTCTGGGGGAGTGGCTTGCCCAGGCAGAGACTCAGCCCCTTTGCTTTGCCCACCCCACACCGGTGTTCCGAGCTATACCTTGGAGCTGGAGGGCATCCGGGGGGCTGTTTTCAGGGTGCAGTTCCTCGTCGTCCAGTGAGGACCAGGCGCTCAGAGTGGCCTCTGTGATGGCAAACTGTTCAGCGACCCCTAGGGGACATGGACACTTGGCTCAGTAGGGACCGAGGCAGAGAGGCCGTCCTTCCTCAGCGGTCAAAGAGCCTGCTGCATGCTCCATCCCACCCATGGCATCAGTCAGCACGATGTGGGGCCCGAGGCCCCAGCTTCACCCCTGCGGAGCCCGGCCTGTGCCTGCCTGCCCCCAGCTTCACCCCTGCGGAGCCCGGCCTGTGCCCGCCTGCCCCCAGCTTCACCCCTGCGGAGCCCGGCCTGTGCCCGCCTGCCCCCAGCTTCACCCCTGCGGAGCCCGGCCTGTGCCCGCCTGCCCCCAGCTTCACCCCTGCGGAGCCCGGCCTGTGCCCGCCTGCCCCCAGCTTCACCCCTGCGGAGCCCGGCCTGTGCCCGCCTGCCCCCACTGACCTGCGGCAAAGCGAGCCTCACGCAGCTCGTCCGGGAGGCAGCAGTAGCGCTCGTCCTCAGCGGGGGACAGCGCCCAGTCTGACCGCTGGGCACTCCAGCCCTTCCACTCGATGAGATGGGCCACGCGGCCCCGGGCCATGGCCGTGGGCTTCGTGATGTGGTCCTTGATGCTCTGCACCACCCCTGGCGGCACAGAGGGCCTGGGTTGGCCATCCCAGCAGAGAGCCCAGTGCAGGGCCCCCACCCCCACCGCCTCTCACTCCCAGAGCTCAGCCCCACCCCGGGGTCTGCACCCACATTCACACATGCACCCCAGTGAATGCCCTGCACCGCTATGCCACACACGACCCAGCAGCCTGCACTGTCCATGCCCACGTCCGGCCCTGTGCCCTCCCAAGTTTATGTTCCTATTCAGAAGCTCCGCCCACCCACACGCCCAGTCTCTGCCAAAGTCCTGCCAGGGACATTCGTGCCCACGGGGGGGGGGGGGGGGGGGGGCTTCTTCCTCAATCAGCCACACCCCTCCCTCCCTTCCTGTCAGATGTCCTGGAAGTCACGGAGAGCCACAGCAGGACAAGGTACAGGGAGAGGCAGGGTAACCCTGCCACTCAGGAAGAGTGTCCCAATTGGAGGATAATGGATCAAGAGAGAGAGAAGAGGGGAATGTCAATGACCCCCAGCAAGAGAGAAGGAAGGGCTGGACAGAGGGAAGGAAGGGCTGGACAGAGGGAAGGAAGGAGCGGGGTCTCTGGATGTGCAAAGTGCCAATGGGGTTGCAGGGAAAGTCTAGCATCTCTATCCACTAAGGCTGAGAATTCAGATCAGGCAGCCTGGGGTCCCTGAGCCATGTGGGCATGAGGCGTGGAGGAGTTGGGATTTGGTGACAACACCGGAACATGGAAGACAGAGGAGGTATCAGAGACAGGGAAGAGGCAGGGAGCATGGATGGGGCAGGGGAGGGCAAAGGGGAATCTTCATCTTCAAGCTGGGGCGTAGGCATCAGATTTTTCGGATTGCAAAGGAAGTGCTATCTCTTGGGACCCTTCAAGGTGGCAGGCAGGTGTGTGTCTCAGGGAGGCAGGGAGGCCTCTGGGAACTTGGAAGTCTGACATGGGTGGGGCAAAGCTCTGGTTAATGGCTGGTGGGCTGGGTGCTTGGATGGGACAATGGGGAGCAGAGGCCCAACCGGCTTTCCCGGCCTGGGGACCCACCCCACAGCTGTCTCAGTTGGGCTATTCTCAGCTCCCACCTGCACCCTTCTCTGGAGAAATACCCCAGCTTTGAGCACCGCCACACTAGAAATGCTCTCAGGGTGGCAGGTCTCTTCAGGGGCAACCAAGGACTGGACAATAGGGCGAGATCAAGTCCAGCCATCAGTTCTGTGTGTGAGTCCTGCTGCAGTGCCTGGGTGGGTTGGGGCAGGGATGTATTCCTCATTGTGGCTGAGCCGTGTCCCTGTGTCCCTCACCCCTGCCCCACAGTCCTTATGGGGCCTGCAAAGCAGTCCCTCAATGCACAATTCCCTCCTCAGCTTCTAGGGATGACTGGGGGCGGGGCGGGGTGACACAGGGGGCAGAGAGGTAGGGAGATCACACAGACAGACAGACAGACACCCCGGACCATCTGAACACTCCAGATCCTCAGAGGTTCTTGAGAATCCAGAAACATAATCCCCAGGAGCAGGAACCCAGACATCAGTCATACCAGACCCCAGTCTAGAGTCAAGCATTTAGAGACAGTTGAATCTGTCAGGTGCCTGTGGCTCACACCTGTAATCTTAGCCATTCCAGAGGCTGAAATCTGAGAATCTCAGTCTGGAGCCAGTCAGGGCAGGAAAGTCCATGAGACTCTTATCGCCAACTGACCACCAAAAAGCCAAGCTGTGCACTGGTGGCTCATGCCTATAATCCTAGCTACTCAGGAGGCTGAGATCTGAGGATCGAGGTTCAAAGCCAGCCTGGGCAGGAAAGTCCATGAGATTCTTATCTCCAACAAACTACCAGAAAATCAGAAGTGGGGCTGTGGTAGAGCACTAGCCTTGATCAGAAAAGAGCTCAGGGACAGGCCCTGAGTTCAAGCCTCATGACAGGCAAGAAATAAATCATAAGTGGAGCTATGACTCGGGTGGTAGAGCACTAGCCTACAAAAGCTCAGGAACAGCACCCAGGCCCTGAGTTCAAGTCCCAGAACCAGCTCAAAGAAACGAAAAAAGAAATCAGGCTGACCATTCTCCTAATTGAGGGTCAGAGATGGAGTGGGGAAAATCCAGGAGTGAGAGAGGGACAGTTAGCACCTACCCACAAGGGACGAGGTGGCCAGGGCTGCCACGCTGTAGTTGCTGGAGCAGGCTCTGGAGCTGGACAGGTAGCCGTTGGTGGTCTGGAAGCACCTCTGTAGGAAAGGAGGGGCAGGGTAAGCAGGAGGCCCAGCCAGGCGCCGACACTCCCCACGCATGGCATTGCCAGCACCCGGAGCCCTGGGGTGGTGGGTAGGAACAGGGCAGGGAAAGCCAAGAGATCCTACTCTCTCCCCAGACCCCTCCCCCAGGGCTGGCAGCACCGTGGGCCTGGGCACAGTAGAGGGAGAAGCAGTGGTGCCATCTGGACTGGCCAAAACAGGGACAGTAAGTGCACTGACCTGCCAGGGGTCCCAACAGAACTCCATCTGTTTGTCCTAAAGCAAGAGGAGAAAGGGGGTCAGGCAGGGCCGGCTCACTGTGCCAGCAATGGCGGAGTCCTGGCAGCCCTAGGGGTGGTGTGGGTCAGGCCTCGGGTGCCCTGAGAGGGTAGGGTCTCCCACTCATGGGTCATGTCCTGCTGCCCCTGGCATGTAGGGAAGCCAGGAGGGGAGCAGCAACACCGGGCACAGGGCTAAATCAGACCCCACCAATTGAGTGCTGACTTCATCTCCTACTCGGTTGTCTCAGGGTGTCAGCTTCACCCTCTGAGGGAGGTGACAGTGACATCAGCCTCACAGGAGGGTGACACATAAACTATAAACTATATGGTGCAGGCAGAATGCCCAGCAGAGTGATCCTGGGGCATATTGCTTTACAAGGTACTATATCAAGCTGGGTGCCAGTGGCTCATGCCTACCATCCTAGCTACTCAGGAAGCTGAGACCTGAGATCGTGGTTCAAAGCCAGCCGAGGCAGGAAAGTCTATGAGAATCTTATCTCCAATTAATCAGCAAAAGGCTAGGAGTGGAGCTGTGGCTCACTGGTAGAGCACTAGCTTTGAGCAAAAAGAAACCTAGGGATGGGGCCCAGGCCCTGAGTTCAAACTCTAGGCCCAGCACATACACACAAAAAAATAAATAAAAATAAAAAAGCAATGTATCAACTGGTGGGTTCAGGCCAGCGCCCGTGGCCAAGGGTAGGAACTGTCCATCGGGATGGGGGCCCCTGGAAAAGCCTTCCGCATCTCCCGGAACCAAACTGCATACCCAGTCCTATCGCTCTCCCTGGGGAGGGAGGTGCCTCCTGCTCAGGGCCAGGGGCCACTGGAGGAACCCAGTCAGAGTGTCTGGGAAGCCCTGCAGGGAGAGACTGTGTTTTTAAACCAAGCCCAGCCTGCTCCTAGATGCCCAATCTAATGCAGACTCTCACCTGCTGACCACCAAATCCAGCACTACCCCACTCCCCCTCCTTTATCTCCCTGATACATCCTGAGTGTAGCAGGAATGAGAGGAGGTTAGAATAGCTCCTGTTTCTTATGGGGAAAAGCTGGGGACAAGTCAGGCCCAGGGGACAGGCAGGAGGAGGGGTGATAAGTGAGCAGTCACCTTGCCAGCGACATGGTCTGGCGGGAAGGCTGGTGGGCAGCTGGAGGGCCGGTGGGGGCTCAGGAGCTCCGAGCCCTGGGGCATAGCGCAGTCCTTGTGGGCACTTGTGAACAGATCTGGAAACAAGAATGATGGCAGACGGTTAGAAAAGCTCAGACCTAACTGGAGCTACAAGGTAGGAATAAAGCAAAGTGTTCAATATGGAAAGGCAAAAATCCACATCCCTATTACAGATATGTTTGATTATGTGTGTGTGTGTGTGTGTGTGTGTGTGTGTGTGTGTGTGTGTATACACATACACACACACACACACACACACATATAAAACCTATATAGGGCTAGGAAGGTGGCTCAGTGGTAGAGCGCTTGCCTTGCATGCCTGAGGCCCTGGGTTCGATTCCTCAGCACCACATAAGCAAAAAGAAAAAAAGCCAGAAGTGGCGTTGTGGCTCAAGTGGTAGAGCGCTAGCCTTGAGCTGAAGAGCTGAGGGACAGCACCCAGGCCCAGGCCTGAGGCCCCACGACCGGACCCAAAAAATAAAAACATAAAACCTATATATAAATCAGAAGATCTATTGAACTGATAAAGCTGGTAAGATTGCAGGATATAAGATCAACATACAGAAAAGGGGGTGACACTGTCCAGAATGAAATGTGCTTATGACCTGGCTTATATAACTGTAACCTCTCTGTACATCATCCTTATGAGAACAATAAAAACAAAACATTTGGGGCTGGGAAGATGGCTCAGTGGTAGAATGCTTGCCTTGCATGCATAAGGCCTGGGTTTGATTCCTCAGCACCACATAAGCAGAAAAAGCTGGAAGTGTCGCTGTTACTCAAGTGGTAGAGCACTAGCCTTGAGCTGAAGAGCTGAGGGACAGCGCCCAGGCCCAGAGCTCAGGCCCCACGACCACAAAAAAAAAAAAAATTAAAAATCAACATACAAAAATTAATTGCTTAATAAGGCAAGTAGTACATGCCTGTAATCCCAGCTACTCAGGAAGGTAAGCAGGAAGATCACCTGAGCCTAGGAGTTGGGGATAACCAGCCTGAGAGAGAGAGAGAGAGGGGGAGAGAGAGAGAGAGAGAGAAAGAGAGAGAGAGGGAGATTTAAATAGGAGGAAGAAGGGTTTAGGAAGTGGCAAACCCTAGTTTAGTGATCTGGTGTATATCTAGTTATAAGGAAGTCTTGGGTCCAGTTCCCAGAATGACAAGGGAAAAAAAGAAAGAAAAGAAGAAAGGAAGGAAGGAGAGAAGGGAGGGAGGAGAAGAAAACAAAAACTCTTGCTAAGAAACCAAGAAAGCAAACCTATTCAAAACGGTTGCAAAACATAATGATAATCATAGTACTAGTAGTAATTGCAACCAAGAAAGTAATTGCTGCAATTAAAAAATACAAAATGATGAAGAAAGACCTTGAAGAAGTCACAGAAAAGTGCAAAGACATCCCATGTTCACGGACGGGCAGAACTCACCCCTGCTAGCCCGGAGGGCCAGCTCTTCCCAGCACATCTCCCACTCTCCAGTTCTCCAGTCTGGCCATACTGATCACACTTCTGACAAATGCCCTGCACCCCGCTGTCTCAGGGCCTTTGCACTTGTTGTCCTCTCCCATCCTCTAGATTCTCTCCTCCCAGATGGCTGCAGGTTCCCCCTCTTGCTCCGTTCAGGTCTGTTCAAGTGCTATCATCTCCATGATCTCCCCAACAACCCTCTTATTTAACATGCCCTGACCCTCAGCTGCATCGCTCTGCACAACACCTAGCACACTGCATATGGTGTCTGCCGCTCACTAGTCGTAGGCCCAGAAGGAACTAGGCACCCTTTAAGGAGGAAGGTAAGAATATTTGGATGTCTGCCATATAGGGAACCTTTCTGCCAGCCAGGCACAGTTAGAGCTCCAGAGAAATAAAACTGTCCTGGCTCTTCCTCTCTGTGGCTCATGCCAGACCCCACATGCCAGAGGAGAGGGGGTGTCTACAGGGCAGTGAGTCAGCAGAACCACCCAGAATGTGACCCTCAATGCAGCCACTCCTGCCTGGGGGAAAGGGGACAGGGGGAGGGGAAGAGGGGGGGGCAAGGCAAGCACTGATCTGGATGCCAGGTAAAGGTTTCAGCCAAACTGCACTGGGTGTAGTACACAGAAGCGATCAGAAGGAGCTAAGTGCATATAAGTGCAGTAGCTCATACCCATAACCTTAGTGACTTTGGAGGCTGAAACCAGGAGGATTGTTTGTGGTTTGAGGACAGAAAGTTCTCAGTACCCCAATCTCAATAGAACATGCTGGAGCACCATAGCAAATGCCTGTAATCCCACTACAGTAGAAATAAGGTCTGGGCAGCTGGGCGCTGGTGGCTCACGCCTGTAATCCTAGCTACTCAGGAGGCTGAGATCTAAGGATCGCAGTTCAAAGCCAGCCGGGGCAGGAGAGACCGTGAGACTCCTATCTCCAATAAACCACCAGAAAACTAGAAGTGGCGCTGTAGCTCAAGTGGTAGAGCGCTCGCCTTGAGCTGAAGAGCTGAGGGACAGCGCCCAGGCCCAGGTCTGAGCAAAAAGCAAGATCTTATCTCAAAATCAGCCAGAGCAAAAGGATTGGTGAAGGTATGACTTACCCAGTAGAGCACCAGCTGAGCAAGTGTGAGGCCCTGAGTTCAAACCCAGAAACACCAAAACAATAAAAACAAAACAAAATTTAAAAATTAAAAAAAAAGGTTCTGAGCCAGGTGCCAGTGGCTCACGCCTGTCATCCTGGCTACTCAGGAGGCTGAGATCTGAGGATCATGGTTCAAAGCCAGCTGGAGCAGGAAAGTCCATGAGACTCTTATCTCCAATGAATCACCAGAAAACAAGAGGTGGAGCTATGGCTCAAAGTGATAGGGTGCTAGCCTTGTGCAAAAGAGCTGAGGGACAGCACCCAGGCCCTGAATTCAGGCCCCATGACCGGGAAAGGAAAGGAAAGAAAAAAAGGAAGAAAAGAAAAGCAGGTAGGCAGGCTGGGGATATGGCTTAGTGGTAGAGTGCTTGCCTAGCATGCATGAAGCCCTGGGTTTGATTCCCCAGTACCACATACACAGAAAAAAGCTGGAAGTGGCACTGTGGCTCAAGTGATCGTGTTAGCCTTGAGTAAAAGAAGCTCAGGGACAGTGCCTAGGCTCTGAGTTCAAGCCCCGGGACCAAAGTGGGGGGGGGGGGGAGGGAGAGAGAAAGAAGGAAAGAGAGGGGAGGGAAGGAGGGACAGACCAGCCTGAGCTATGGTGGGTGAGGCAGGGCTGTATGAGAGAGAACTGGAGATAAGGAAGGCAGGGTCAAGGTTAGCCTCCCCTCCCTACCAGGAACACCAGCAGAAGAGGTCGGAACGGAGAGGACCATGCGGGACCCTGAGGCCTGAGCCTTGTGTGGCCTGCGCTAGTCTGGGCTTCAGTGACACAGGCCATTGATCTCATTTACTCTGAAATGAACAGATGAAAGTGTGAACCAAGGGATAGAGCACCTGCTTTGAAAGTGAAAAGCCCCGAGCTGAAACCTCAGCACCTCCAAAGGTATCTGAAGAAGAACTGGAGCCCATGGGAGAGCATGGCAGGTGGGGTTACCCAGTGCTCTGCAGAGCTCTGTTAAGCTACACGCATATCACACGAATGTGCGCACATGAACGGTAAGATTTTTCTACACTAGACACCAGTGACTCACATCTGTCAGCCTAGCTATGCAGGAGGCTGACATCGGAGGATCATGGTATGGAGCCAGCCCAGGCAGAAAGGTCCATGAGACTCTTATCTCCAATAAACCATCAAAAAGCCAGAAGTGGAGCTGTGGCTCAAGTGGGAGAATGCCCACCTTGAACAAAAAGCTGACCTTCTCTGGGGTTCAAGCCCCAGAGAAGATTTTTCTGGGTCATAATGTTTCTGGGTCTAGATTTTTCTCTAGTTTTGGCAGTAGTGGGATTTGAACACAGAGTTTTGCACTTGCTAAGTAGATCCTCTGCCACTTAGGCAGCCCTTATGCTGCACAATGTATTTATTCCTATAGACCCAGCCAAAAAAGTTTGAAAGGTGTGTTTAAGTGCAGTAGTGTATGTCTATAATCCCAGCCTTATGGAGGCTGAGGCAGGAGGAGTGAAAGTTTCAGGCTACATGGTGAAACCCTATCCCAAAGAAAAAAGGTGTGTGTGTGTGTGTGTGTGTGTGTGTGTGTGTGTGTGTGTGTGTGTGTGTGTGTGTGTGTGTGTGTGTGTGTGTGTGTGTGTGTGTGTGTGTGTGTGTGTGTGTGTGTGTGTGTGTGTGTGTGTGTGTGTGTGTGTGTCAGTCCTGGGAGTTGAACTCTGGGCCTGGACACTATCACTGAGTTTGGGGTTTTGTTGGGTTTTGTTGCTGTTGTTGTTCAAGGCTAGTACTTTACCAGTTGAGCCACAGCTCTACTTCTAGCTTTTTGGTGATTTACTGGAGATGAGTATCACAGACTTTTCTGCCTAAGCTGGCTTTGAACTATCATCCTCAGATCTTAACCTCCTGAGTAGCTAGGATTACAGGTGTGAGCCACAGGCAGCCCCATGCACTTCACTTTTAAAGCTTCCAGGAATTCTGTATGTTGTGCAAACCCAAGGTTGGCTTCAGGCTGAGGCTGGGAACTCTGAGAAGAGCTAGCTAGTGCTCCTGGCCACCCAGGAAGCTGCCAAGCACAGAGGAGGTGGACTGGGAAGGGGCAAAGCTGGCACTGAGGTGGCAGGTGATACCAAGGCCCCCAGGTTCCCGGCTTGGGCGGGGCTATCCCCTGAGATGGGGCGGCCCCTGGCCCCCTGGCTCTGGGCATCACCCAGTCTGGGGTTACTAGGTGCCTCAGCCAAAGTTGCCTGTCTCCCTCAGAGGACTTCAGCCCCTTGATGTCACCGACAGGTTGCCATGGAGACGTCAGGTAATGAACCAGCCAGGGTGAAATCACAGGCTGCGCGTAGCCCAGCTGGGACCAAGCCACGTCACCGCCACTGGCAACTGGAAAAACACAGTTTCATGGAGGGTGGAGGCCAGGGGGGAGGGGGAGAGCTAGCTCGGGCCTGAGGGGCAGATCCCCCTCCCAAGAGAGCTGTGGGGACACGCTTTTCTTTCTCAAGGGCTG